ATGTACTAATTGCAGCTTATGAATGCACAAAAATTCCACTAATGTTGACAGCACATTTAGTGATTAAGAAGATCTACTAATTAATTGCAGTTTAATTATTGTTTAACTAATGAAAAGTAGTATTCCTTCTAGTTTTTTCTTTTTTTTAAAGAGCCTGTAACTAAATCATGTGATTTAAGAAAACAGTTAAAATTAGGACGTTCTGAAAAAAAAGAACAGTGAAAGAGAGGTGGATTTGGTGGTCTACTATAAGACAATTAATTAATATTGGATCCAGCTGATTTAAATGAAGGTTAAAAAAACACGTTGATTTGGAGCCAACAATAATTGTGAATGTCATGTAAATTAAAGTTGTAGCACTAATTAATTACTCCAAAGGTAACTATTAATTATTATAAACGTAACGTTCACTTATGGTGCAGAGTGAAGAGGAGCAGCAAAGAAACTCGTAAAGGTTTGGTACTGATGACACTATGAAAAATGAGGGCTCTGTCATCTGCGTTTTTTTTTTTTTTTTGAATTCTTCTTTGGCCTTTTTTCTTTCTTTCTTATTTCGTCGTGCTTCTCGTGAAATTTTCATCTCAATTGGTACAGCTATCAACATATTAAAATATTCTTTAATTTGTCTGCCTTACTTCTTCTTCTGGCTGGTTATTGAATGAGTTTGTCCTCATCTAAGATAAAAATTAATATATAAAAAACAAACGTAAAATCCAGACAATTCAAATTTACGACTCCTCCCATATATCATCAACAATTATATTTGATAACATTAATCAATTTTTTCTCTTACAGTATTTATTTTTTTTAAAACTAATTAATTTACATAAATTATAAATTACTACCTCCGATCCTTATAATATAAAAGCTAGTTGACTAATTTAAGTAGATTAAAAAAATTAGTTATGTTTGTTATTTGTAATAAATAGGTGTTGTTTTTTTTGTAAAATATTCTTGTTAATCAAGTGTATTAGTTAAAATAGGAATGAAAATAAGCCAAGCGGCTTGTCAAGGTGAAGTTGAACTGCCCTTAATTGTCGCTTTGGGGTTACTCCAAAAATTAACCGAATTAATGCAATATAGTGCACGATCTGGGTCGTATTCACTTTGAGGAGCCGAAAACGAAATTAAATCCTAGTAAATAAATGCAAGTAACCTAAACTATAAAAAGGATTTTTGATTTGAGTTTGAAAAATTGATAACTAAATGCCTTGAATTAAATTGAAATTAAAATACTTTTTTTTTGTTATTTTCTTTTATATAAAAGATTATTGAAATAACTGAAGATGAAAGGAATGAAAATGAGACACACAAATAACACTGATGATAATCAATCCTCTAATTCAACAATATAGGCAATCATCACTCTAAAAGATGTGGGAGTTAAAAACAATGAATTAAGAATTATAATTAAGCTTTTAATCCAACAACCGAGCCACCTCGAGTTGCCACAAAATATTTTCCTAAAATCCCAGCTTACTAACTGCAACCAGAATAGTAAAATGGGATTAAGGATGCCAAAAACCAATGCTTAGTTAGAACTCTTAAATCCAAAATATCAGAATTAAAGCTAGCAAGAGACAATATGATCCAAAATTCTAAGCCACCTTAGAAAATCACAATATATTAACTCCAAAATCAATATAAATGTCATAACCACAACATCATAATTGAAATCAAAGCTATAAGCAACCCAATGTCAAATGCTAAACAGTAATCCAGCCACAAAAATCTCCATAGATAATCAGATTTAACAATACAAAATTTTTCTAATAATCAGAATAACTATCTTAAGACCTAGGAATTGTTAAACAATTATTAGACAGGAAATTAAAGCAACTAAAACTCCCCATTGATGATCTAAGCTCCTGCCATTGTTGTTGAATTAGAGGATTATTAAGCTCTAGCCATGGGTTGCCATAAGAAATGCCACAATCAGTATTTTGCTACAGGATCCCATGGAAGAACGCAGGCGCCGTCGACTCGTGCTCGCTGGTGTTCTGGTGTTCAGCTTCCCCGCGCCCAGCTCGTCCCCGCGCCGTCTGTGTGTGTGTGAGTTTTCGTTCGGCGTCTTGTTTTTGTTTTTCTCCAGCCGCGCCCAGCTTGCTCTCCGGTTTTGTTCTGTTTCGTTATTTTCTTTCTGCCGCCCAGCTCGCCTCCTCTTTCAGCTCGTGTTTTTCTTTTTGTTGCCGCCGCTTGCGTCTCTCCCCCGTGAAGAAGATTCAATTATTAGATATTAGGTTGGGGGGCAAAACGTTGCGTTTTGCTCCCCCTTTTATTATTATATTTTTTTTTATATTTTTTATTTTTATTTTTAAATCTTCTAAAAACCTGCAAACAAAATTTAAAAATAAGGTAGCATTAATTGTCCTAAAAAAAACCAATTACTCACAATTAAACCAAAATATGACAATTTTGCCCCTATAAAATAATAATTCAAAATAAAACATATTAAATCAATTAATCAATTAATTAAGGTCAAAAGGGACTAATTAAGTTGACAAAACCCATATAAAAGATATCAAAATATATAAAAATAATTGAGTTTGTCACAAGGGCCTACAACCAGCTGGCTTGTATTTGGCTTGGTTTGGCCTGACCTGTTTCAAAATAGAAAAAAACTCAAGCCTCTTTGATGATCTGTTTAGCCTAATGGCCTAATGGGCCAGGCCTAGGCTTTTTGGAAAGCCTGTTAAGCCTAGCCTTGCTTGTTTTTATCTTATTTTTAATTTTTATTTTGTACTTATATCTAGTCTTATTTTAAATTTTGATTATAACTTGTTTTTAATAATATTCACTGTAATCAAGATTCAAAATATTACTTATGAATAATAAAAAATAATTATTATATAGTATGTATATTTTACATTTTTATTAGTCTATGTATTTTTTACTATGCATTTTGAAAATTTTAAAATTACAGGTTTCTTTAACAGACTCAGGCTAAGCCAGACTTTTATATAGGCCAGGCTCAGATGGAAAAAAAAGCCTATTACAGGCCACATGCTAAGCTCAAGCCAGCATATTACTAAATAGGCTTGGCCTGTTAAGGACAAAGCCTGGTCTAGCCTAGCCTGGCTTGTTTTCATCCTTAGGTTAAAACTACCATTATTACAAAAACTATCTTAAAAAAATAGATAAATATGAGAGACAAAATGGATTGGAATATTATATTTAAGACCAAAATAAAAGTCAGATAAGCTCTTATATTAAGGATCGGATGTAGTAATATATAATTCAATATTACTCGGAGTATTTTAGAAAGATAATATCATATTTATTATAATTAACTAATTTGTTTTATTTTATTAATCTATCTAAATTAATTAAGTAGAATTTATATTAAGGAGAGAGGAGTAACTTACTTTATTTTACGAGTTTATAATTTATGAATAGTGCAATTTATTACATATAAATTATATATATCATAGTGTTTTTTTCCCTGCAAAACAGAACAATTTAAATGGAACCCGTCTGAGGGAGCGGCATTCTTAAGGGGAAAGACAAACACGGCTTACGCGTTAACGTTATTTACTCATTATAAAGTGAATATTCTTCTTCCGTTTGACTCCAAAATATATATATACTCCTTCTCCACAAACGCAAATTAAAAGCTAATTTATCAACAAAGAAGGTTATACGTGTATATTGGTGAATTAATATATGTATGGTGATGAAGAAATAATAGAGTATAGGACTAATTAATAATAGCAAATATATTATATTAATGCTAAGCAGCTGTATAGCATGCATATATATATATATATATATATATGATTTTTCTAATTAAGCCCACCACTTCACTATTTTCCACACACTTCTCAAGCCTTTCCTAATTCACCATCCTTTTTGCGCGCGCGTCTTTATTAAAGCTAGGCCTAGGTGTAGGCCTCATGAAATACACCGAGTTCAAGAAATATTACAAAATTTATATTTTTTTTTCCTATAAAACTTATTTTATAATATAATTTATATTATGCACTATAAAATGGATGACAAATATTTAGGATCAAGATGTGTTTTACTTTAGGATTGGAGAAGTAATTTCTAAATAGTACAATATATTATATACTCCTCCTGTCCTTAATATAGGACCCAATTGGTAAGTTGGTTTTGGTCCTAAATATAAGACCCATTTATCATATTTATCAATTTTCTCTAAATTACCCCTATAGATACTCCCTCAATCATAATCAAGTGTAGAAGAGGGAGTGAGGGTATTAAGAAAGATAATTATGGTGTTTTAGGAAAAACGTGTCATATTTTTTATAATTAACTACCTTATCTAACTTTCTTAATCTAATCAAATTAGTTAAATGGGTCTTATATTAAGGATCGGAGGAGTATAACTTATGATACTATATCTTTTTAATATATAAAGAGAACAATTTAAATTGAACATGCGTGCGATAGCCGTGTTCTTAAGGACAAAGGCACCAATACAGATGGTTTATAAATATTAATTATTTAATTCAGTGAATTATTGAATATTGGGTATGCTGACCGCTTAAAAATTTCTCTCTTTCTTCTAAAAAATACGGGAAGTTAAAGAAAATTTTTAACTTTTTAACGTACGGTGAATTTTATCCATATATATATATATATATGGATGAAGATATAACATAGAAGTACTAATAATGGCAAATATTAAAGCTAACTAAAGCAGCCACCATATGAATTTTCTAATTTTAACAATCAAGAAGATTCTTCCACTCGCACACTTTTTTTGGCGTGATAAAAGGGAGATACATGAATTGCTTTCCGTCTGGTTTAAACCTGTTTAATTAAAACACGTTCTAATAATGAAAGGTTTATTTTCAAAAAACAAAAAACAGAAATCTCTTTATTAAAAAAAGCAGGTAACACTGAATGTGGATGCACCCACTGGTTATCATAGGGATACAATAAACCCTCTTTTTGCCCTCTATATATATACACATACTCTTGCCCTCCCCTCTTCATTCTTCAATTCATCGCTTCCTCTCTTAGTCTCTCTCTCTCTCTCTAGACAACACAACAGAAGAATCCTCCTAACCCTCTCTCTCTTTCTCTCTCTAAACCTGTAGACAAAGTCTTATTCAATATATAATACAGAGAGATGGAAAGCAATTTGCCAGTACTATCCAAGAGAGTGTGGAACATGGTACGCCTTGTCTTCTTCATGCTCCGAAAAGGCTTCAACAAACCAAAACTCTTGATGGACCTCAGCCTCATGCTCAAACGCCCCGGCAAGCTCGCCGGAAAAGCCATTGCCGATCTCATCACCCACCACCATCATTGCCACCATGGGAGCTCCACAGCCTCCGACGACACCCATTTGCGGTTCTCCACCGCCCGCGAGTACGAGTTCAGCTGCAGCAACAAACCCAACTACAGCTTCTTCTCCAAACGTCATCCCCGTCGCTTCTTCACCTGTGCTCACGCGCCGCTCACGCTGGACGATGATGTGGTGACGGTTAATAATGCTCTTCAGGTGGCGTTGGACAAGCTCGATGACCAAAAATGCAAACATGCGGTGGACGCGTCGCCGGCACTTCCCGGGTTTGGACGGACCCCGACGGTGAGACAGTTGAGGGTGACGGACTCTCCGTTCCCGGTGCAAGACGGCAGCGATGACGGGGACCACCGGGTTGACAATGCGGCGGAGGAGTACATAGAGAGGGTCTTCAAGGAGTTAAGGAAGCAGCAGGGTTAATGAGCAACTTTGGATTTGTTACTCGGGCTTAAATGTTAATTTTGATTAATTAACCGTAAAATTAACATCAAAGCAAATTTGGATATATGTTGATGATAATCATCCCAACCTCAATTTTCACCTTTTGTGGGTTGGGGATTTTGATTTCGAAGTTGTTGTTTCTGACAGATATTTGTACTTTTAATTGTTTTATGCTCAATAAATAAAGAAAAAATAATCTGAAATTTATATCAATATTCTTATTTTGACTGAACATTTCGGCTACAATTTATGTCATCTCTTCAGCTCTTTTCTTGTTCTGTTCCAACTTCCAGCAAGAGCATTTTGTTTCGCAACACCGAAAATATAATTGCGCACTTTTTATCAATATAAAATATGAAATTATATTCATAATAAATTGTCCATATCTAAGTTATAAATTTGTTAGGAACGAGGAGTGAAGCCAAAAACGGGACAGAAGAGAAATGGGTAATAAGTAAAGGAGGATTCCTCATTTTAACTCAAAATCTTAAAGCGAGAGTTCATGAATCATTTTATTGCATTATGCGTTGCTTACTAAGTCTAATTTTATTCAATATGAAGACTTCCCATATTAACTTTAGTCTACTCATATTTGCACAATTGAACAAAATACACACACACACATGAAAATGAAGCTAGACTATGAGGCTTGTATCGTACGAAGTGATCCAAAGGTAACTATTCTCTGGTTAAATATCAATGCAACTTCCTAACTTGGAGCTTTATATCATATGTCGATTTATAATGACGGCACATTTAGTGATTAATTAGATACACTAATTGTTGTTTATGAATGTGTAAAAATTTTCTTAAAACATTATTTTGGTTTATAGTAAAATTGGATTTCACAGCCAAGGGGCAGCACTATTTCCCCTAGTGTCATGTGTCCCTACATGATCGCACTAACATCTCAAAGAGAAATCATTGGCTGCTTTTTTCTCTTGAACATAGTGTAGCCTTTCTCATTTGGTTTCCATATTCTACCGTCCATTGCTTTTGCTTTATTGCCATTCTTTTCATTCTTTTGACCTTTCCAAGTCTTTACATAACAACCACTTCCTCCTATCAAACAAAGTCTCCCAAATCCACTTACGAAGAAAACAGGTGATCACATTTTTTTACCTAGCTGCTAATAATACTAATGTGTGTGTGTTGCGAAACAAAAGATTAGTAGAGAAAGCAAATTATTAGTCGTGATTAAGCTGTTGAAGTTTGAAAAGGTTATTAATTCTCAGTCGTGACGAATGAAGAATAGCTTTACCGAATTGCCGAGATTGGTTGGATGAATTAATGTTTGGCTATAAAATCAACTTTTCTAGTTAGCTGTCACGATAAATCTTATAAAATCAACTTTTTTAGTTAGCTGTCACGATAAATCTTACTACTCTGTAGAAGAAAAGGTTGTGCAAACAATGGTCACTTTTTTCCGACCATGAATAAGTACAATAATTAAATCTCAATTTCTTTTAGTAGTTCTCGGAAATTTTGAAAAACACATTGAGTTAGTAGTTTAATTAGTGTTAACATTTAGCTAGGTATGTATATAATAGCTATTGTAAGTATATTTATGTGCTTGCAAAGCTAAGCATATTAGTAGCTACAGTATATTTTAATTATTGATTCACTAATGGTAAACAGTAGCTATATATGAATGGAAATGGATTGGTGTGTGTGCTTATATATACAAAGAGATCGTTCGGGAAAAGCAGTGAAAGAGTGATGGGATTTGGTGGTCTCATAAGACAATTATTAATTGCAGCCAGCTGATTTAAATGAAGGTAAAAATATGAGTCAGCTGGGACTTTTCATGTGAAAAAAAAATGTTGATTTGGATAGCCAACAATAATTGTGAATGTCGGATAGCTGGATTGTTGGTTACTTGCAGGCAAATTAAAGCTGTAACACTTAATTAATTAATTAATATTATGAATTTAATTTGCATGCTAAATATGCTTGCTTGGTAGTCGTGTGTTTTTGACTTTTATGATGCACAGTAAAAAGGAGCGGCAATGAAATTCGTATAAAGCCATAACTTTAGTTACTTGCACTCTGAAAAATGAGGCCTCTGTGTGTTTTTTTTTAAAATTTATTATTTCGTCATCCTTCATGTGAAATTAAATCTATTCATGATTCATCTCAATTAATACAGTACTACTACCTCCGGTCATTAATATAAAATCTTATTTGACTTTTATTTTTGTCCTAAATCCCTAATCTATTTTGTCTCTAATATTTATATATTTTTTTCAAGCTAATTCTTCTAACAATGATAGTTCTAGCTAATACACTTGATTAGCAAGGATATTTTAGGAAAAATAACACCTATTGATGACAAATAACTAACTTAACTTCTTTCCTTAATCTCCTTAAATTAGTCAACTAACTCTTATAATTAGGATCGGAGGTAGTATTACCAATACCATGTTTCTAATATTGTTTAATTGGTCTGCATTACTTGCTCTTCCTCTTCTCCATTTTTTGACCAGGCTCTTCTTCTTCTTATAATTAATTTAAATAGCGCAACTTATTAATGAAAAATTAAATACTATAGTGTAGCCGTATAGGACTAATAATAGCAAATATATTAATGCTAAGCAGCTCTATGTTTGGCATATGATTTTACTAATTTTAACAATCAAGATTCCGTTTTACTCGCTCACTTTTTTTTTGGGCGTAATAAAAGAGGGATATGGAATTGCCTTTAACCGATAGTTTAAAACTTTAAATTCATATGTTCAGCAAATAATTGAAAAGTTTAAGAGATTCAAAGTAAATTAATTCTTAAGACCGTTGGTCAGCGATTTTATTGTCCGAACTACTATTATCATTAATAAGGTTTAATTAAGTAATCTTATTGAATTAATCAATACAACAAAATGTATTATGTCATGGCTGTTTGAAAGATTGATCATTCTATAAAGTTATAAATGGGAACTGCAGGACGGCAAAAATGCAACGTTCGAAAGGAAAGGGTGGGCCCTACGCGCCCAGAGCCGAAAAAAAGAAGAAAAGAAAGAAAAGCTCATTTCTTTCCTACTAAGCATTCTCCTCCTCGCCGCGCAAACAAGATGGTCCCATAGTAGTATTTCTTATCTTTAATATCAGAGTTAATTTAATTTTTATTTTGATTTTAAATATAAAACTCTAATTTATTTTGTTTTTTATATTTATTTATTTATTAAAATAGCTTTTGTAGTAATTGCACATATTAAAAGTGTAATCAAATGATAGTTGTAGTTAGTACGCTAGATTAGCAAAGGTATTTTAAGAAAAATAATACTACTTCCGGTCCTTAATATAAGACCTCATTTGACTTTTTGTTTGGTCCTAATTATAAGACCCCAATCCATTTTGTCTCTCATATTTATGCATTCTTTTCCAAGATAGCCCTTCTAATAATGATAGTTCTAGCCAATGCACTTAATTAGCAAGGATATTTTAGGAATGACAACACTTATTTATTACAAATAACTAACTTAACTTACTTCCTTAATCTTCTCAAATTAGTCAACTGGATCTTATAATTAGGACCGGAGGTAGTATCTATTTATTACAAATGACTAACTTAACTAATTTTCTTAATATACTCAATTAGTCAATTAGTTCTTATATTAAAAACTAGAGGTAGCATATATATATAAAATTCAAAGACAGCTTTCATTTTCAAAACCCTATATAATAGATTAAAAATACTTTTTATATTTTCTAATTTCTAAAATATGTCACGAAATAAATAAATAAATAACTGGAAACCTTTTAGTTGTGAAATTGAGCTTGTTACGTTAACTAAAGTATGTGAAGCGGATCCTAATCTTCTCTCTCTCTCTCTGTTTTTTTTCACTCAGGCAGTGATTAATAAATGTATTATGAGATTTGGGGATCGGTTTAAAGGGGAACCAAGAGCAAATTAAAATAACCCTTACACTCATTCCATCCATTCATATTTATCTTTTCATATTTATGAATATATAGCTTACCTTCCTATTCATAAATCTAGTTAATAATATGGTTTATGGAACACTTTCTTCATAAATATATAAAGGGAAAATTAATTTGGAGGTCCTTGTAGTTTGCATCAATTTTGAATCAGGTCCTTAAACTTTTTTTCCTTTTTATTAGATCCTTTAACTTTCTGATATTAATACCGGTACTCCTTACCGTTAAATGTGAACAAACACCGTTAAAAATTTCATTACATCTCCTTCCCTACCGCGTTCTCCTGAGTCCTGACCTCACCGTCCCTCCTCACCTTTTTGACCAAGTCCTATCTCCTAGTAAGGAAGAAGGCTCATGGCTCTGACGATGCGAGTCCAAGCACAAAATCATTCATCAAACTTTTGAAAACCTCCTATTCCACTTATTCATCTCATATATTTGTCTTGTAGGAACCCAGGGCCTTTATCATTCCTCCACTGCTCTGATCGTGTAGTCTTGCTTCTCCAGATCATCACTTTGCCGTGTTATTTTGCTCCCCCACGCTACTGCTAAATGACTTTAGAAGGGTCATGCACAGCTCCTACTCTGTTCCCCAGGCTTCTTAACAGCCATCTCTCTATTATCTTCTCCACTCCCTTTGTTTCTTGCTCCTTCAATCACTCCCTTTGTTTCTTGCTCCTTCAATCACTCCCTTTGATTCTGTTCCCATTTTTTTCTCAGGTGTTATTATCACTGTCCTCCACCTTATTACTAATTAAAGACTGGTTCTCTTTTTTCTAAGAGTTTTTCTTGATTCAAGAGTTAAATCGAATGCTCCTCTCGCTCTTGAAAATCCTATGAGCTTTTTTCCTTCGATGCAATTTTAATTGGTAGATGCATTCGATTTTTTTTAGTAGAACATTTGATTTATTTGCTCCGCCGAGGAGTTCGTCGCATGTATGCTGAATCTTATGGGTCAATTGATTGACAATCTATTTCTTAGGAAATCTTGCGGCATTGGAGAAATTTCAAGGAGAGGACAAGATGTGAAGGATGATGAGAAAGGGAGAACGTTGCGTAAGGAGATGAGATAACAGTGTTTATTTTTGCTTAACAATTTCAGGTTAAAAAAAAAATCACTTAACAGTAAGGGCTAACGATTTTAACAGTAGAAAGGTAAAGGATCTAATAAAAAAGAAAAAAAGCTTGAGGACTTGATTCAAAACTAATGTAAACTATAAGGACTTTTAAATTAGTTTTCCCATATATAAAATATCTAATATATATTTACAAAAATTATTACTATAGGACACATCAACTTGTTTTTACTAGGGTACAAGGCGCGAGTCTTAAAATATTAATATGTGCGGTGCTCTTCCATTGTTCTTCCCTAATTGGTTAAAGTTTTCTCTATTCAACCGCTAGAAAGATTCCTAATTAAATATTTATTTTATTTTATTTTAAACAGTGGTATATGAATTAATTTAATAATTTAGATGTATAAAAACTAGCACACTAAAGAAACAATGAATTAACACTGATAGTTAGTAATGAAATTTGTAAATTCTATCACAAAAAGACTAACATATTAATTAGTGATGGAATTTAGTCACTAATTAAACTGATAATCGACAGAAATTTGGTCACTAGATTTCATCGCTAATTCATTCTTTTTCTTTTTTAGTATAAAGTATTATATGTTTGAGCAAAGATAATTTATTGGATATCCTCAGCTATCCGTTAGATTCTCTGATGAATGAAGCTTAAAATTATTTGGTGACATTACAACTTTCTTTTGGATAGGATTTGTGACTGAACAACAAAACCCCAAAAAAAGGCACCTTCAAATAATTCAGTTTCGTACATTTAGTTTTTAAGGATAAAAATGAAATATAATTGCTTCTAGATTTAGATTGTAGCAAAAAGCTAGCCTTGAAAATGACAAGAAACAAAGAGAAGTGGTTGGAAGGCTTTGAGTTCAATTTAGTGCTCAATAATTGAAGATTTTTGTTTTCTAATATATTTACTTAGGCTTTGAGTTCAACTTAGTGTTCAATAATTGAAGATTTTTGTTTTCTAATATATTTACTTAAGGCTTTGAGTTCAAATTAGTGCTCAATAATTGAAGATTTTGTTTTCTAATATATTTACTTAAGGCTTTGAGTTCAACTTAGTGCTCAATAATTGAAGATTTTTGTTTTCTAATATATTTACTTAAGTTTACCCGTAATTAAACCACTTTTTTTCTTTATTAAATTATGCTATAACAACAACGTTTAACTCCCATGCTGTCTTTTTAGTGGAACTTTAGATTTTCTAGATCTCTTTCCATTAATTATCATATATAATTAATCACACAAAGTTAAACAAACTACAAATTGTGTTATCTTTTTAAATAAACCATTTGATTTATGGCACTTGGATAGCATCCAAATAATATATCAAAGGTCTTTCCATAATCACTGTAAATAACGATAAATGGAACATCAAAATCAACCTTACTAATTGATACGCGTGTAGCATTCTGAAATCAAATGTCTTCATTATGTAATTACCTTTATAATCTTAAGGGATCTTTAAGTAAAATCATGATGATTAGACTTAAGTAGAAGCTTCACGATCCTCATATATTATCTTAATCATTTGACCAAACAAAGGCTGCTGGAGTAGAAGGTGGCAGCTTCTTCCAGTCTTGTCTATTAATCTCAAGTTATATGCATGACTGAATATTTCAAATTAATTTGAAATTACTCAATAAGAAAGTTAATGTTCTTAAATTTAAAGGTAACATCATTTTTTCCCCATCGCTCATTGATTCATATTCATGAATAACTGGATATAACATTAGCGTTTTAATAATTAAGTATTTTCATCCAAGAATCAAAAATTATTATGACTTTAATTTTGTGTGTGTCTGTGTTTCTTGTGTACATAATCCTTCAGGCTTAATGACAAGGCATGTAGGAGTAGTATAAATTAATTTAAATTTTAGAGTGAGCTTTTTTTCTTTTTCTTTTTTGTTGTTGGAGGTAATGTAAGGCCAAGATAATGTTTGAATTAAATAATATTGTTAGATCCTAAAATGTATTAAATATTTTAATGCTGCTTTTTGAGACATTAAAGATAGAGGATAATGGATGAAGTTAAGGGTTATCTGTTAGTGGAGCAGGTTTCTTAATCGTTTTTTCTTATTATAAAATATAATTCCATTGTCCGCTGAATAATCTAATACACACACACACACACAGACACACGCATATATATGACCAAGCTGTTAGTGTTTTCCCCAAGAAAATTAGATCCTTTTGGTTTCAATCTTATTGCTTATAAAATTAGATATAGCGCAAAACAAAGTGCACAGGTCAAATACAAAGCATGCCAATGAAACTAATGGAGCCTAGGACTACACACACACACACACAGAGAGGCTGGTCCTTCTCTTCGAATATTAAACTTACTTTTACATTTGCTTTTTGGATTTCTAGCTGTCAAGTTAAGAAACTACCCACAAGAAACGTCCCCATACAAAGTAAAAGGTTACCCCTTCACATTTTGTACTAAGTAATCGCTTAAACCTCAATCCACGAATATCGATTAAATTATTAGAAGAGGTTAAAAAACAAGAATATAATTACAAGCATTTGAAAGTATTGTTCTCAAAAAAAAAGAAAAGAATTTGAAAATATTAATATTATTTTAGTCCCCGCGTGTCTGTGTGTACGAGTGTGATCTGTGGGATTAATTTCGTTCCAAATTCATGGCTATCCATTCTTGGGACTTATATGGCTGTTTTTTTTTTTTAAACGGGACTGCATTATTTTGTAGATAATAATTCAGTTTAATTTGTTGATTAAATTAGCAGTAATTAATTTCTTCAGAATTTGTTATTTGTTTGTAATATATATAACATTAGTTGTGTTGATTTGGAGCACTGTCTAATTTAGTGAATTAAGGAGTCTTTGATTAATTAATAAACCTAGATCATCCAGAAGACCATATATATAACGTGTTGCATTGTGATCAAATGAATGCGAATTAAACCTTTTCACAGTCTAATCAATGTTGAAGTGAAATCATGATAATAATTAATTAGTAGTAATATAAGAAGCTGCTCCATCAAGATTAGATTGATCCTCATCCACTAAGTAAATCTTAGATTGTTGTTTCAATTTGGCAAGCAACTTTGGTAAAGACGAAAGCATTATAAGAATCCCTCTCTATATAATGGCTAGAAAAAAGGAAAAGTGGAGCTGGTTTTTCTCTTTATTTCCAGCTTTAACAAAAATAAATTAATGCACTTAGAGCTGCTTTGGGTTCGCGTGCTTTTGAACACAGCCAAGTTTTAAGCCTTTACCCAACCAAAAAAAAAACCACACAAATTCATATAATGCCACGTACAAAGTGCTCAGATAAACTTTTAAGGTAAAGTGGGGAGAAATATAATACGGGGAAAGTATTTTTATATGTAAACGAAAGGAAACCTGCTGGAGCTCGAGGTGGCAACTTCTTAGTTCTAACGTAACATTCTCATGTATTAGTTTGGAGCAATATGTATATGGCTGAATATTCTGAATGAACTAATTTGAGCTATGAATTAGGGAAAAAAAATCAATTATGAAGGGAATTTAATTCAAAAAAATCCACGTCTCTCTTCATTATTAATTCACTTGCCACACATATATAGATCCATTTGGGGATATAAGACAAGTACGGAAATCCCACTTGAATTATAAAATTTTAGAATACTGAGCTTTGGATATAAAGGCGATAGGTTATAATATCAGTGATGAATAATTGTGAGATCCTGAAAATTATATATTAAGTGTTGCTTTTTTTTTTCTTGGGTGTTACGGAGAAGAAACCTTGAATATAATTATGACAAAGGTCACGGATAAGGATGAGGTTAAGGCCTCAAGTGATTCTTAAAAACGACAATTCCTATCGTAAAGTAAACATATGCAAGACTCTGCAAAAGAACATATGTGTGAGTATGCCTGCTCGGAACGACTATGGCCATAGGCTACTGGGAAACAAGGTTGCACGCTTCATTTTTTAGGAAAAGCATCTTCATTTCATGTTCGAAAATAAATTTATACGTGCTTTAAAAAAACATGGCGTCTTAATTACAAATTTTTACGAATTTGTTAGATATAAGATTTTACTACACTGTACTTTGCTTCCTCTTTTTTTTTCCAAACAACAATAACAAGCATTATCCCACCAATTAGGTGGAGTCGGCTATATAAATTATATGATACCATTATACTCTATCAATAATTAAATCTTTAGACATGTTCTTAATCAAAATACCCTGTTTGATAACCTTATTGAGCATCCTTTTCGATCTTCTTCTATTCCTTTCTAAAAGATCCAAATTGTGTAATCTTCACCATGCCTTCAGTTCTCTTTATCTTTTTTCCACTGTACAGGTTAAAAATATCATCACAAAAAATATTTCCTAAATTTATCCAACTCCCTTTGAACAAATTAGACATTTCAAAAATAAAATTGAAAATTTAATTTAAAGGATATTGTGTTTAATTAAATTTAAAAGAATTATTAAACTAAAGACATTAAGGATGGATTTTATAAAAATTGATTAAAAAATAGATGAAATGATACTTTTTGAATATATAATTCACCCGAATAATAAATCATAAAACGCAAACCGACCAAGAAGCAATGCCAAATTGTACCTTAGCCGCTAGCCCCCGTTGCCCACACTTGAAGACTGAAGCTCACGTGAGGTTTCTTCTGAAATCGGCAAAATGTCACGTGACCTTTAACTTAGCCAGGCAGAACCCCGCCGATAATGCAACTGCGTCAAATAAAAATAAATAAAATAATAAAAAAGATGGTAACACCGAGTTTCTCTGCACCCACGCGTGCCCAAAAGCACCCCTTTCCCTTTCGTCTTTCTTTCTTCTACAGTTCTACCTCCTTACCCTCTAATTAACTTTTCCCCGCTATAAATATAGATCCCATAGGCCCTGCCTCTTCAGATTCGGAGTTCAGAAATCAGAAGTACATCTCTTCCTCTCCCTCTCTCTCTCAAGAATTGGAAAGAAAACCAGTATCTCTCTCTCTCTAAAGTTGTGAAGAAAAGTACAGTGTTATAGAAATGGAGAGCAACATGCCAGAAATAGCTAAGAGAGTGTGGAACATGGTTTGCGTTTCCTTCTTCATGCTCAGAAAAGGCATATCCAAGGGCAGAATCATGATGGACCTCAACATGATGCTCAAACGCCGCGGCAAGCTCGCTGGAAAGGCCATCGCCAACCTCATGTTCCACCACCACCACGGCAGCCCCACCTCCTCCGACAACCCTGACCTCCGTTTCTCTGCCGGACGAGAGTACGAGTTCAGCTGCAGCAACACTCCCAACTACAGCTTCTTCCCAAAGCGCCATCACGGCCACCATCGCCGCCACAGCCACAATCCCTTCTTCTTCGCATGTGCTCACGTGCCGCTTACTCAGGATGACGACATGGTGGCCATCAGTAATGCGCTCAAGGCGTCGTTGGAGATGCTAGATAACGACAATGGTCCTAACAACAACCGGAACAAGGATATGGTGGAGGCTTCGCCGGCGCTTCCGGGGTTCGGAAGGAGTCCAACGGTGAGGCAGCTGAGGGTGACAGACTCGCCGTTCCCAGTGCAAGACGGCGACCAGGACAGGGATCACCAAGTGGACAAGGCGGCGGAGGAGTTTATAATGAGGTTTTACAAGGATCTGAAGAAGGAAGCTTGAACATAAAATTATTCATGATCTCCGCCGTGCTAATTATGCAGTTTTGGATATGGCTCGTAGACTCTGTTTTGGCAAAAAGGGGAAAGAAAAAAAAACTGGATATTGATATGTTGATAATAATCAGTTCGCTCCTTTGTGCATTATATGAATTTGTAATTAAGTTTATTATTGTTTTTCTATGATCACTGCAATAAAAAAAAAATTAAAGGATGCAATTGGCTATCCATTGTTTCTTTCTCCTCCTGCTTTCAATGTCACACGTGAGTATCTCTTATTCTGGAACTGAAAATAATGAAAATATATGATGGTGGTAATTCTGTGCAAGAATATTGGAGATAATATAAAATTCATATACATATATATTTACTTTAAAAGGCCCATATATATGATAATATGAAGGATTTTAATTGGAATATACAATATATATCATAAAGTTTATGAATGTACAAATTAATTAGTGTATATGTCCTTACATACCGTACGCGGGGAACAATTATAATTGAATATCCCTGAGATATCCTTGAGCACACCTTATGTTGGAATAATTTTGAATCTTTGCATCTACAAAGTAATTAATTATATTATTATGCTCCATAGACTTCAAATCAAGCATCTCTTCTTCTTTGGGTGTGTGTCTGGCACATGCATATATATAGCCCATGTATGGCGACAACTTAAATTGAAAATCGATCCCTTGAAGTTGAGAGGTTTAACCCCTCCCCCCCCCCCAAAAAAAGAGAAAGAGAGAAGATTTTATATTTTATTAAAAAAATCATAAAATGGTGGAATATATGAAAAAACAGAAGAAAAATTTGATGGAAATTTATGGATCTCAACTTCAAACAAATCATTATTTTCCAGCTAGTTGTTTCATATAAGAGCTACTTAATTAATTTAAATATATTAACAAAATCAAATAAATTATTAATTTATAATAAATTTGACATAATTTTTTAAAATATTCCTGTATACTATTAGACTATGTATCATTTTATAAGATGAGTAAATTAGTTTGCAAAAATGTTAAATATAATAGTAAGTGAAATGAATTGAAATATTATGTTTAAGATGAAATTCAATTTCAGCCAGCTTAATTAGAGATCTAAAGGGAGAACCATAATATATATTGTAGTTCGTGAGAGTGAAAAAGATTTAGAGTTATAGCTTTGGACCTAATTAATTAATTAAAAGTGTGATCTTAAGTAGTGATTCTAATTAATTAAATAGGCTTGTCACAGCCAAGGCCACCCTGTTTTGATTAAAGTAGTGTTGATATGACTCCACTAACTTGTCAAAGGGAAACTATAGGCTGTGCCCCCTCCAAAATATCATGGACTTTCCGCAAACTTTACTTTAATTGTTGCTTTATTGTTCCCACTTTTTTACTTTTGCTTTAAATTATTTCTTTTTCTTATTTAATTAACCCTTTTCCTGTTGGTTCTACGTTCTCAAAGGAAAGTATCCACGGGGAGTTCATATACAAAGTAACAAGTTACGTACCCATTGTCACTTTGTACCACATAAATAATGCTAAATAATGGGATGTTTACATTTACCAAATACCCATATATATATATTTATATGTTTACATGACAACTTAACTTGAAATACAAAGATTACAGCTGTCATAGAAGAGGTTAAAATAAATATTAGCACATATTTAATTTGATTTAATCATTTGCATAATTATGAGCAGGTGAAGTTTGAAAAGGGAGATTAATTTTAAAATTATACATGGGCGAACGAATTAAATTTAAATGTTGCACCCTTTGTTTTTTGAGATTAGGTTGGTTTTTTATTAGATAAATAGCTGTCAAAATATTAGACAGCATGTTGCATATAAATACTAACATTTCAAAGGATAATTTCAGAAACAGCTAGTCATTTCTAGCTTCATGCTGGCCGAATATTGGTTTTATTGCAAACTTTGAGATTTATGTATATGTTGATAAACAATTAATTTTACTACTTGGGAAAGACCATTATATACATACATGCACATAGTTTCACACGAGCTGAGCTCATCTTTGAACATGTGTTATCTTTTAATAGATGTACCGCTCCGGTCAAACTCTTTATCTCACAATGTCGTCTGCCTGAATTGGCTGACATAGTAAACCTTAAATCTAAAAAGAAAGGCAGTACTCCACTTATAATTCACAAAATAAGTAAAATACCGAAAAAAGTAGTGGTACATTGATGATCGGCGGGTACGTCAAGAGAAATGCACAGTGAAAGAAGTGATTTAGGCAATCTAATGATAAGAGAATTATTATGGCGGCTGGTTTAAATTTTGAAAGATGGGTCAAATTAGGGTGTTTGTTAACTTGACTGCCCCCTTTTCTTTTCATGAAAAAATAAATCGCAGACTTTCAATATTAAATAAAGTGATAATTTACTTAGAAACTTCAAATATGTAGGTAGACAAAAAAATTTAGTAAAACCCTCAAGGAGATTGAATGGGAAATATGAAATAATATTTCTCTCACTTTAATATAAGGACATAAGTAAAAAAATCAATAAATAATGCTTTAGATAAAAGCCAATTTTTTTTTTATAATACACAACAAAGTTACACTCTTATTTGTTTATTATAATCAAGAAGTAGAAGAAGAAGACGGGAGCGAGTAATTGTGAGAGTAAGATGGCCAACAATAATAATTGCTGTTTCTTGCGGGTAAAAGTTGTATCATCAATATAATAAAGAGTTGATGGGCGCGTGCATGGGTTTTAGCTTTTGAGTTTACAAAGCAGGAGAAATTCTTATAAAGCCAAAAGATTAGGTGAAAGTTCGGTGAAACTCTGAAAATGAGGGGCTCCATTAATTGTGTGGCTTTTTGAAAATTTCCTAGGCTCTTTCCCCCTTGACAGGTTTCCCCTCTAATTGACATTTCACATTAGTTTTATTGTCACAATGATTTTTATTTGTTTTAGTGAATTAATTCTCGATTATGATGGGGAGCTTTAGTTATAACTGTAATTACGTGTGGGCTCATATTTTGCATACATGACTTTATGAATTGTTTGTTTTAAATATATGTATCCTTATATTGGAAGAAGTCTATTTAAGATATTATTGGATTTGAATACTACCTGCAGTTCTAATTATAAGATCTCGTTTATAGTCTATAAACGAGGTCATATAATTAGGACCGAGAGTAGTATAACCATATCTCCCTGTAATAATTGCAGTGTAGAGATTCAAAATTAATGAGTCACGTAATAAATTGACCATTTCTGCTAAATTCAACTTCATTAGTAATAGATATTTATTGCCTATATATATATATATATATATATATAGATCCCGGAGAGATAAAAGATTATTTATTAAAACAATATTAAAATGGCATGGATCACTGAAATAATTAAGACATCCCAAAATCAAGTATCTTGAAATTAAAATTAAGAAATAAACAAAGAAAATAAAAATATTAGTTGGGAGATCAATTAATGTTAACATTTCATGAGAAAATTAAACACTAATAATTTTAATTCAATTGAGCGGGTTGTTTCCTATTGCATTAATAATTAATCCTTGACTATTTTTGCACCATTATATGGAACTACTATGCGTATAGCTGTCAACCAAACAAAGATCTGGGCTGCAATATAATGCATTCAAGAGATGGTTACAACTTTACTCACAATACAGAAGTTGAATGAAGTGAAACCAACTTGATACACCTTAGATAAATCTGAGATTTAAAATTTTATCGAATGAAACAAAAGATAAGAAAGAGATATTTCTTATTTAAACATAATAATGCCCGAAAATGAAATGATCAATTATATTAAGTATTTGTCTAGTACTGTCCATATGTCGGAGATAAAACTATTTTCTTTTATTCATAAGCCACGTGATAAAATTTTTAATATGAATATATTATTTTCCCCAAAAAAAAGTATTATAAGCTTATAATCAGAAGGTGATGAGACTCTCTTTAAGGGCTGCTGGAATAAAATATCATAAAATGCAGCACAACTGACGCAAAAAAAAAAAAAAGCATTATAAAAAGTTTCGAGTTGACACTGAACCGCAAATTTTGGACGAAAATCAAAACACACACTACGAAATGAATCCAATAATAACTTCTTTTAATAAAACTTTCTATTACACCCATGCATGCATGCTTTTTCCCGCCTGTGTTTTTTTGGTACACCCGTCTTTAATTTCCTTTTTAAAGAGAGCTATTCTATTCAATTTCAATTTCAATTTTTCTTCACACACACACTTTGTATCACGGCAACTTAACATACTATATTTTGGGGCTGTTATCTATATATAGATGCTAATATTTATTCAGAGTGCCTCGATAAATTCAATCTATTTTGAACACTTTTATTTCTTAGGCTGTTTTATTTAAAAATTAACACACTTGGAAAGGGAAGAGTAAAAAGTTTAGGAAAATATTACTCAAAGATATTTAAGGAATCAAATCCATATGTAACCGATTACAACTTCTCTTTAACTATATATATATATATATATATATATGCGATGTATCTTTAATTATGTGTAAATATTTTTTTATTTTACATATAATTAAAAATAAGTTTCAATTTTACATATTGACAGTGTTTACTAAGACTCCTAGTAATATAATAGTGGAATTAACCAACGTGAGTAGTGGCTTTTATAACCACTACAAAACCATTTGTCACGACTAATTTAGTGGCAATACCGTTAAGCACATTGTTGTTAGCAGCCTAAATTGCTATAAATTCTTTAAAATAATCCACTATAAAGCACCGCTAGTACATATGGAGGTGAGTTTTTAAACAAATTTCATATATCTTTTGGGCAACCAAATTTTCAATGAGTTTTTCCAATAATCATTTTTATAAAACTTCATCTATACTCCTCTACTTCTTAATATAGGACCTAATTATTAAGTTAATTTTGGTCCTAAATATAAGATCAATTTTTGATATTTATTAATTTTTTCTAAATTACCCTCATGGATACTCCCTCAATCATAATTAAGTAAAAGACGGAGGGAGGATATTAAGTAAGATGGTTATGGTGTTTTAGAAAAAAAACATGTCATATTTCTTATAATTAACTAACTTACTTAACTATCTTAATCTAATCAAATTAGTTAAATAAGTCTTATATTAAAGACTGGAGGAGTAATATATTATTGCTCCTTTAACATAAGATATTTGTGGTTGGCAGAAAAAAATATCTATTTGAGCACACCATGTTTGATAGCAAGTCTGCGAGCTGCATGATTAAGTAAAAAGACAGGCTGGCTTCCAGCATATATATTA